CCAAGTCCACTCCCCGGTCCCCTCCGGCTATGTTTTACTCCTATTCCCTGCGCGTTCCGGTGCTTTTCCCTCTTTCCTCCTCCCTCTTCTCTCACAGGTTGGACTGGATGTCCTTTGGGGTCCCTTCATTATTATTATTATTATTATTATTATTATTATTATTATATCTTCCTGTCTAGCAGAACAAAGGGGTTGGACTGGATGTCCTTTGGAGTCCCTTCATTATTATTATTATTATTTTATCTTCCTGTCTAGCAGAACAAAGGGGTTGGACTGGATGTCCTTTGGGGTCCCTTCATTATTATTATTATTATTATTATTATTATTATTATTATTATTATATCTTCCTGTCTAGCAGAACAAAGGGGTTGGACTGGATGTCCTTTGGAGTCCCTTCATTATTATTATTATTATTTTATCTTTCTGCCTGACAGAACAAAGGGGTTGGACTGGATGTCCTTTGGGGTCCCTTCATTATTATTATTATTATTATTATTATTATTATTATTATTATTATATCTTCCTGTCTAGCAGAACAAAGGGGTTGGACTGGATGTCCTTTGGAGTCCCTTCATTATTATTATTATTATTTTATCTTCCTGTCTAGCAGAACAAAGGGGTTGGACTGGATGTCCTTTGGGAGTCCCTTCAAACTCCATTATTCTATTGAGTCTAAGATGCATCGGCAGGTCGTGTGCCTTGGAGGAGATTCGGAAAAGAAAAAGCCTTTAATTATCAGGGCAATTAATTCCACTCGGCATCATGCCTACGAAGGGGGCCGACCCGGTGTCAACGGGGACCCATCTTTAATGAGGGAATGATGGCCGGAGGGGGAGTCGGAGTGCGCCAATTCCCCAGCCTGAGTGAGGAGGCCAAACGAGGAGGGGTATGTATGTGCCTTGTATATATATTATTTCCCCTTCCCCTTTATTACGAAGCCATGAAAGCGTTCCGAATTCCTCGTCTATGCCAATAGATGCAGGCCAAACGTCAGGAGTAAATGCTGCAAGAATAAGAGCTTAGGACTGTGCAATTTTTTCGTGAGTCATCGTAACTCGGATCCGCAGGCCCATGCTACTTTTGGCCTATTATTATTATTATTATTATTATTATTATTATTATTATTATTATTATTATTAGCCATCCCCTGGCCGCGTTGCCATGGCCCAGTCTGTTTTTATGTGCTGTGTGTGAATCACTGAGTTGGAAGAGACCTTGTGGGCCATCTAGAAAGATAGATAGATAGATAGATAGATAGATAGATAGATAGATAGATAGATAGATAGATAGATAG